TTTCCCTGCTTTGTTTTTGAAGCCATTAGAGAAACTGGGGGTGGTCTCAGTGGAGCACAAAATGTATACTTTTTAATGAGTTTGTTGCTTACATGACCTGACTCCTCATGCTGATGGTTTCCATTTTATTATGGGAGGTATTGTGGTGTGGTGCTTAAAAGGTAGTTTGTGCTTCATCTACTTGTATCTATTTTGTAATGAAATAAAGACCTTCAGACTCCAGAGAAACTACTCCAGCACCTTTTCTCTGCAGTAAATTATGACCAAATAACAAAATGTTTTAAACTCTCAAAGACTGTAACTAAATACAGCCAGCATTCCCCTACTTTCTGAATTACTGCAAGAAAGCCAAATTCTCTGTGGTGGCTCAGGAGATCAAGGGCACTTACTCATAAGTGAACGCGCATTCTTACTACACTGTAGGTGCATTGTATTGGGAATAGTGCTGTCCACATGTTGAGATGGTGAATGCCTAAAACTAAGCCAAATAGTTCCTGTGCCTGAAATCCCTTCCTTGAGAGCATAGACTCATTTCATAGTATAGGCGTAAACTACACTGGCTTTTTTTTTTATGTGTCTTGAAAGCCAAATGAAGCTCTGTATTTACCAAGGACCACGAAACAAACTCTGTGAGTGGAACTCCACTGTTAGTGAGCTGCCACTGCCAAGCACACAGAGCCTAAAAAGGTCTGGTTTTGAGGTCCAGCACAGGGTAGCTGCTGTGAAGAACTGTCATGATTTGATGTCTCTTAATAGCTTTTAAGTTCTGTAGTAAACACAGTGACTACTTTAAAATCAGAGCAGCAGTGGGTTGCCAAATGTAGGTTCCCCTTGGAGGTCTTGGGCAGTAACAACATTTCTGAATGTGTTAGCTGGATCTGACGGGCAGGACAGCTGTTCAGTGCACTTCTGAGGTAGCCCACCATCTCCTAGTACGACACCCTGGCTTCATTTCTTTGTAATTCTGACTCATTTTTGACCTCCCAAGCTGAAAACCTGTAAATGGTCTTTTAGAAAATTTCAGCCAAGATAGTCATATCATTTTTAAAAGCAAAACAAGGAAAACACATTGTATTATCCATGTCAAAAATATTCTGGAATTTCTTCTGAGAAGCCCTAGCAACTTTGTGGCTCAGGGGAAAAAAATGGAAATTTGGAAGCGCATCCTCTGCATTAGGAATGCTCTTTTATCACCTTAAAGACCACCTGGCCATGCTGTAACCCTCTGAAAAATCAAACTCATTGAATGAAAGCTCCTTTATCAGCAAAAGCCTTCATCACTGAGCATGGTCCAACTCCTGCGCATGACTGGACTTCGAGTGCACAACCCTTACTGGACAACAAAAGGTACACCACCATCCTCCAGCTCCCATGTTCCACCAGGAGCACAGACCTGCCATCTGAGCAGCCTCATGCTCAGAGGCTAGGAGGACAAAGGCAAACTACCACACAACACCTGCTTAGCCAGGAGATTGGGAAAAGGCACTGGGATAGGGCGATGTAAAGCAACAGCGAGGAGGAAGCCTCCCTGCTCTGCTCTGGTTGATTTTCCTGCTGGCAGGTGAGTAGAGAGCAGGAGGAATCTGGTGTGGCTGCTGAGGGGAGAGCATAACCCGCCAGGAGAAAAGCTGGGACGAACAGCTTGGAGAAACACAAGATCAGTGACTGTGAGCCAGGATGCAGAAGAGGGACTTGCTGATCCAGGAGACTGGTGAAGGAAGCTGATGTGGGTGAGGTGAGGTCTAGGATTAGCTGTCCAAGGAGGAGGGAAGATGGAGTGTGGCTGGGGATGGTGAGGACCAGGAGAAACAGAGCTGAAAGGACTTGGGGTGTGGAGAGGGAAGGAGGAGTGACGAGAGGGATGGTGACAGAAATGGTGGGAGCAGAAACAGTGAGCCAAGGAGAGCACAGGGCAGCTGACATCAGATGAAAACACAAGAGCTGGATTTTGGCTTTAGCAGAGGAAAAGGAATGAGGCACGGATGGGGAAGCAGAAGTAGGGGGAGAGAGAGGAAAATGAAAATAGGTGGCAGAAGTAAGAACTGTAACATCTGATCACATAATCCTAGCCCTGACTGTAATGTGGGAGCAAAAAGGCCAAATGAAAGCTGTGTGAGCAACCTTCCTTCTGGTACTTCCAAACTCTTGGAGTGCCTCTGCACCCATAATGCTGTCCATTTTAAGTGTATTTAGATGTGCACATGTGCCATGTAGAGTATCAGGTGGGCAGACATACATGAATGTAAAAGTGCAATCTTTCAAGAGGTCATACAATGCAACGGATGAAGCTCTACCAGAATTTTTTTCCTCCTCTGAAATAATCATACCTTACATTTGTAGATTAGAAAATATCAGGATAAGTCCTGATTGATTACTTACTGCAGGAACTCTGAGACCAGTTGAATTATTGGGGTTGAACTGTCTGGGAAACCGAAATCTCTGGAAGATTTTAGCTCCCCACAGCTAGGAAGGCAAAGCTGCTGTAGCTTGTCGCAGAAATAGGGGTCTTCAAGATTTATATTCCTGCAAAACCAAGCGCTCAAAAAAACTTGCATTCAGCTTTGCAGAGTTAAATCCAATAGTCTTCAGCAGTGACATTCAAACCGTAGTCTGTGAACCATAGGATCTATAGACAGCTTTTATAAGGCCTCTGTAAAGGTCTTTAAGAAAACCGAACTTTTGCTTAAATTCACTACAATCACAAATATTACATACAGAAACTAGGAAAAAATTGCAAGTCCTTAATGGACAGTGTAAAGATATGGGGGAGACCAGAGGCACTTCAAAATCAGGCCTCCTCTTATGAAGCGGCCAGTTCTACAGAGCCAAGGTTTAGTATTTGGATGTATGGGGGTTTTTTATGCTCTTTGGGCCCCCTGTCTGCCAAGGATCCTCCTTTCTGACGCAGATAAATTGCCTCTGCCCACTGTAGCTTTAGGTTTTAGTTCCAGCTGGGATATGCTGGTAATCCTGAGACACAAAATTATCTTGTGAATATATTGCAGTTAACTTCAGTTGTATAAATCCAAGCATTAGCTGGATACTATAAATAGGCAGGGTGTGCAAGGAGGCCAAGTTGAAAATGTGCAGGAATCATGCCTTTTTTCTTTAATGCAACCCCAAAGTTGTGCTATGTTTCATCATGTATAATATTTTTCATCTGAAAAGGAAATAATATGCACGTGCTTTGTGGCTGTAGTAATTAACTGGACATAATGAAGCGCTGAATTTCACACTTCAGAGAAGTGGATGGGGGAGGATGGGTAAGTTTTTCTCAAGTTTTCTTGCTTATAGTGCTTTCTTGGAGGTAGTTTTTTGCAAGATTGGGTAGAGAGCAGAAATACATCTGTTTTATATTATATGATGGCTGTACTTTGGCAATGGAAAAAGATGGCACTTAAAAAAAGGAAAGAAGAATAAAAAAGAAAAGCTTGGCAACTACAGAATGGAGCAACAATTACAAGAACTATCTTAAAATTCCCAGGATTTGTAATTTATTTTTCCACGCTTGCATTTTTCTGATGTTGCTGATGTTAAAGGAGTGAGACAGAGGAAATTCAGTAAGATTTTACAAAGTACAGATATCTCCGTGAAACAATCTCTTTTATTCAGGTTGCCCCCATAACAGCTGCTGTGATTAATGTGTGGGTGGTAGCAAAAGGGATAGGAAGCAGGACTCATATGTTCACTTTAAAAAAAATGATAGACCATGATTTTTTTCTGTTGTTTTCTTCAGCCAGTGCCCATGAAGTAATGAAGGTGATCTCCCCCTTAACTGCAATTATCTATGGGTATAGGGCAGAAGTAAAATTAAGGCAGATGTTTTTTGGAAGCAGAGCCATGTGAGGCATCTTTGTGGTGGGAGAGGGGAAAAGTTATTCAAGCAATGCAGCAGTACTTAGTGATGTGTCACCTACTGCAGTTTCCATTTTTTCTTTCCTTTATATATTCACCCAGTAAACACTCTTTTTTTTTTTCCCCACCTCACATTGACATAAGGTAGTCCCAAACTACAAAGAGCTGAGACTCTTCTCATGGTAGATATTTTCATCTTTGAGTAAAGTTGGTGGGAGCAGAGGACACTGAGCATCTGTCTATGTTTGAACAAGACTGTGGGGTGTGACATGTGAGCACCTTCCAAGAGTGTAGAAAGTGATGCATCCCATGGGGCTGCTTTTCACATCCTCTCATTTGGAGGACGTAACGCTTCAGCCTTTGCAAGGCTGGGGGCTGGAATGCTGGGAATTGTGCTTTCCCTGCAGCGGGGTCTGAGCTATATGACAGTACCCCCAGGTTGTTCAGCAACTTAGCTGACTTGAAATAGAGCACTGGAACAAAATATGTTCTGAGTGATTTTTAAGTAAAAGCTAATGTGAAAATGTGGGAGTTTGAACCAATGTAAACACATTAAATTTAAAATGATTTTCAAATGTAGTAAAGAAAAAAATAGTGTTCCTGCTCTTGAAATTCCTAAAGGACACATTTTTCCTTCTGAGTCATGATTTAATTAGATTATATTTTATTAGACATTCTTTACAAATTTTAAAATACTGCTATTATACATGCACAAAGGAAAATCAGTTTGAACAACTGTATGTAGGCATTCATTGAAGTCAACCACAAACCAGGGACATTTTATGTCAGTTATCAATGTACTCGATATGTATATCTAAAGTGCATTATGTTACAAAAAATATAGAAAGTCAGCAGCACCAAGATACGTTCACAAAATAAATACACTAGTCAACAAAATAAATTACGGTAAATGTGACAATAATAATTGTCTTAGCCTTAGCAAAAAAAAAAAAAAAAGAAAAAAAAAAAGAAAATTCACAATAACCAAATGTGCAGTTTCAGAGAGCAATGGGGGAAAAAAGGTTTTATTCTGAGCATTTACAATATTTACAGGTAATAAATATTTTAATACTTCCCATATGTTCACTATTACAGAATACTGCAATATGTCTTCCAAAAATCTCTTGCTGAAAATGTCAGCGCCTCCTGCAAAGAAAAAAAGGATAGAAAAAATAATTTTCACTTCAAATACATAGACACAAAATTAATAGCAAGATTGCCACAAACTATAATGTGCCTTGCTAGTAAACATTTGCAATAACAGGGCTGGTTTAACAATGCTACAGTTTTAGACATCTTTTTGAGACCTTTATTTTATTTCCTTCAATGCAACTCAGCTAGCAGTATGAAGACCTGCAGTTTTTCATGGCACTGAGGCCATCTATTCCACTATATTGTACACTCAGAGAAATAGGAAGGGGCTTTAGTTTTCTTTAGAGCCTTATGCAAGAAGATTCCTGAGTGCTACAGGTAGAGAAATTGTATCAACCTATAATAAATATGCCAAATGATAAAAAGAAAAAAATACAGTTGGAGAAATGAGAAATTTGTTCTGAAGATAAGAAAAAGAAAGTTCTTATTGAACACTGTGGCAAGCATGCCCCTGCTGTTGGGTGTGATGCCAGGCTTCTGATTAAAACAGTCCCACGGGGCTTATTTGGTCTGTCTTTCCCACTGATAGACCACCTGTTAGACAAGGGTCTGTTTATCTTAGAGGTATATATTTCTGTGCTGTCGTGCACACAAGTGTATGCAGTACTTATGCAGTAAGGGTTGCTCAGGTCTTGAAGTGAACAGATCCTTGATAGCGTGTCTCTTTAAGCGCTTGAATGAATGAAAAGACTATAATCCTGAAATTTTCCCTCTGTGAGCCACAGAGATTGGTCCTGAAAGAAAAAGAGCATCTCCTCATGTTAAGCTCTGACTCCTGTTGCATTCAGTCAAAGCTGAAACAGTCAGCTGTATACAGTCCTAAGATTTGGGAGTTTCCTAAGGGATGCTGGCAGCCTCCTGTGAGTTCTGTACTCCTCCCTTCCTTGTGAAGGCATGAGAATAAAAGCAGACCCTGCTCCTTTCCTGTCAGTATATTACTTATACTACAATATTATTTTAAGTTACTTCTTAGTGGTGCTGCAGAAAATGCTGAAGGGTTGGGCTTTTTTCCCTTCTGTCCCTGTGAACAGCACGTTTCTGTAATGCACATTGGTTCCCTGGGAAACAGCTATAGGATGGAATGTGAAGCTATAGGATGGAGCATGATTCGCTCTGTTGCTGGACTGATCACCGAAGCTGTGGGTAGCGTTCCACATGGCAGACGTGTGGGTGTGAGATACGAAAAGAAGCAAATCCTTGAGAGTTTAAGAGGAGGGGGGGGTTATGTGCTCATTGAAAGTGAGACTTCATTTAACATTAGGGAGTCTACTCATTTGAAAGGTTTCTTAGGAAATTAGGTAATAACAGCTTAATTGAGTTGGAACGGGAATATAGCTGGAATGCCCATGAGAAAGAGTTTTTTAAGTTCCTGGAATGGAAATGCTAGTATGAAGCTCCTTAATAATTAACAAGTAATATTAGGGTGTATTCAGGCTGTATTACAATATGTATAATAATGTCACACAATTCGTACAGCATGACTGTATATGTGTCTGCACTACACAGGCCTATTTTTAAGAGCATGATATTGTCAATTTGGCTTGGATTTTAGGCTTTGTTTTAGTGTTTAAGCTAAACCACAACTTGACAACGGGCTCTTTTCTAATGACTACTTGCAAGCTGCTTTCTGTTATTTAGTCCCAGATTTTGCAAGATTGGCTTCTTTTATGAGATACTTCCTGTAGTAAGTCAAAAGATCTAGAGAGCACATTATTTTTGGTCTTTTTTCTGACCCAAGCCCAAAATTTCGGGATCGAGATTGGGCAGAGGGAATTGGCATGAGGATTTTAGTTCAGTGTATTGAGAAGAAAAGAAGCAGAGATACAGTGAAAAGCACACTTAAAGTTTATCTTTGCACTTCCTTGACATTTGCCCTGCTGCATTATTCTTATCCACTTCTTCACTGTAAAGTAATGATGCTCCTCCTAAGCTGCAGCTAGCCTTAGGGGTGCTGCAAAAAGAGCTTCTACTTGTGTAGCACATGGATATCCTGTCTGAACACACCTTCCTTGTCCCCCACCAGCAGATAGAGTAGAAGTTCCTGATTCAGCTCTCAACCTCACTCAGATGTGGTCATCCCTCCATCTAAAATGTGCTTGGCTACCTTCTGCCAATAACCACATAGACAACTGCATTGAATCTGATTCCCCCTATCTAAAGTACATGTCAGGGAGTTGGGACCTGCCTTCATTTAAAGTTTAGAAATTATATCTTTTACCAGCCTACTGGGATAACTACAAGCTCATATACTAGCAGTTTCTTAAGATCTGAACCAGCATATTATGCTCTGTACTTGTGAAGGAGGAATTTCATTTTCCTGCTTTATGTCTTCTCTTTGTTTAATCATCTTCAATTAAGTATCTAAAATACAGATCCTCTTTAGCAATCTGCCCTGGAGAAATACTGCGTCTTGGGCAATAATATCAGGAAGGTAAAGCTGGACTACCTTCAGCAGTCTGGGCTCCACAGTAAAGCTGGCTGCCTTCAGCCATCCAACCATACTTCAAACAGAAAGGCTGAACTAGGAAAATCAATAGGGTTGTACCTGTCATTCTTTTACATATCCCATTGGATATACAACCAAAGGCAGAGTAGTAAGAAAAAGAAATAACACTCAAAATGCCCTAGGATGTTTTTTCCCTACGCTCAAGATTTCTATGTGCTGAAGACAGGTGCTATTTTTTGGCCACCACGGTTCCTTAACACCTCTTGAGATGTCAGGCGACTCCTGACTGGAGTCCCAGAGTGTGCCTTTCCTAAGGGGCTGAGACAAACCAGCCTCTCATACTTTGCTACTAACTGCTACAGCCATGCTAACTGGTTTATGGTCAGGGACACTGAATGTCTAGCCCCGAATGCTGGTAACTCCTGTAGATGCCAGCAGAAGTTGAGGCGACGGAGCACGTTGCAAACTGTGGCCTGTAAAGCTTAACCCAAGACTGGATTTTAGTAAATCTGACAATGGCGTCTCTTTCTAACGGATTTACTGTGAGCAAGTGGCACTTCTCCTATGTCTCTATTCTGCCAAAGTGAAGGGGAGAAGGAGCGAAAAGGGTGGGGTTTTTGCTGTTGAAAATGCACATATTTGAGGAGAACTGAGGGGTGGACTCCTTGGTTTTGTCTGCATGTGTGCAGACTTCCACTCAAGCTGAGATGACTGCAAGTGGATGAGTTGCTTGGGGCACTCAGGCTGAAGTCTCCAGCTCGCTACTGTCCTGAAAACCCTTCATTGTCATACATGGCAGAAGCACGTCTCTCTCCAAAAGCAATGCTCAACGTTTTTCAGCAGCAATGTAATTGTTTCACGAGCTGGCAAAAAGATGAAGCTGAATTAAAAAGTCCTAATGGCAGGGAAAATTTTATGGTGAAAGGCTTGTCTGCATTGTTTGCAGATATTACTAAGAGAGAAATATTCCATGTTCTCCCCTAAGGTTAAACAGTAAAATGAAAAACTGTAAAGTAAGGGTAGGAAAGTTGCCAAAAAGGGGAGGCGTTGAGAGGGAGGAAAGAAAACTTCACTATTTTATAGATGCAGAGCCTTAAATAAAACTCAAAGCTTTCAATCTGCTGAGGCCCAAGTGTGGGACCAAGATCTGATGTGAGAGACACTATGGTTAAAACAGGAAAGGAAATTTTAGTGGATATGATGTGCTTTCTTTTTGCAGAAATAACTTTACTTACTACTCACTCAGCTTCAGGAAGCTTATTTTGGCAATAAGTGGTTTACTTGAATTGTTTGTCACAGGGAAGAAAGACTTTGTCACCAGTGCTAAGTGGAAAGGGTACTTACTTACCTCCAGAAAGCACCTTGAGACAGTGCACTGCTTGAAAAGCCACTGCCTAGTTATGAGCATGAAGGTGTGCTATTACTCCAGGTTTGAGTGAGGCCTTAGCCTCTCACACCAAAGGATAACAATTTCAGTAAATGTATGGTATACCCCCCAAAAGGATATATCAGAATTACCTTAAAGTGTGATTATGTGTAGTAACAGAGTTGTCCAAGAATGGGCTCTCGGTCACACCGCTTCCATACACGCCAGAATTTGGCCAAGCTGAGCGGGCTCGCCTCTTTTTCTTCTCTTGTTCCTTACGTTTTCCAGGCTTTGCTTTCTTTTTTTTCCCCGACACCTTCAGGGGCTGCTCCTTGTAGTTCTGTGATTTGTTTGTCTCCTGAGTTAGGTATCTGCCCTCATCTTCACTACCAAATCGGACAGGGTAGTTCTTCGTGTTGGTAGCAGGTTTAGGATTAGGTGAAACCTCTGAAGTTGCACGGATTTCTGCAGTGTTGACACCTTCAATTAAATTTTGAAGGAATATTCTTCTTCGTAAGTCTTGGATTGACTTGCCTTTGTCATGCAGTAGTTGGTGCTCTGATACAGCCCGTTTGCTAAAGAAAGAGAAGAGAGGAGAGGGAAAAAAACATTTAGGATTTGGTGATTGCCCAGTACTTGGCACAGCTCCTCTCGCCTTGGGCAGTGGTGGCCACAGTGACTGTGTACCAGCTCTCAGGCTTGGAGACATCCAGTTAAGTCAGACTGCTGGAGTAAGTCCTGCTTCTCAGAGTAGCTGCTCCCTACAGAGAAGGGAAAGACCTAAGCGGGTAATAATTCTCAGCTGACCGATCACACACCACTGGACCTGGAGTTGGATTAGTCACTGCTCTGTTCTAGGAAAGCACTACAACTCTTAATATATCACACTTCAGGCAGTAAAAGCAGGAAGGCAGTTGTCAGAGACAGGAAAACTAAAAGGTCAGATAATAGAGCACTGCAGTCAAGCAAGAGAGGGGGAATAACAAGTACTTGCACTGAAGCCGGAAGCTGTGTTTATACAGCATCATTCTAATAATTTTCTTCTGCTCAGTCACGTACTTCAAAACCATAAACAAATACATAAAAGTGCATTTCATTTCTAAATTTAAATAAGTGCAGTTGCAGGAACGTAATGGAAAATTGTTCGAATTTGGGTGCCTAAAATGTAGGCACTTCAGTCCATAATGAGCTATCCATAGAGGCAGCAGCCTGAGCATCAGCAGAGATGAGCCTCAGCCACTCCTGTTGACTTCGCTGCTTGGTCACTTGTGTCTAATTATGGGTTTAGATGCCCTTCTAGTATTCCTTTCAGCATGAACTTTTGGGGCCAAATTTCTTGTCTGCTATGCTCTCTGAGTTTTATGCTAGTCTTCTTCACTGGATCTTCTTCAAGAGCATCCTGGTTGGTTTGAGTGGGTCTCTGGTACTATTCCAGAGTTCATGACCTTTTGGTTCACTAACCTCTGTCTTGTTTTCGAGGAACTGGGAGATGGTTAGCTATCTGTCTTTTAGAGATGTTGTACTGGCAAAGAAGGTATGAAACGTCTGAGGAAAGAAGATACAAGTGGCACCTGGATAATAAATAACCATGAGAAAATACATGCTTTTTCCTTGGTGTGGGATAGATGCACAGCTGCACTGTGAACCACAGAAAGAGCGCAAGCTGGGATTGTAGCTATGTTCCCATGAATGCTATAATACAGTTTATCCTTCCAATTGCCCTACTTCAGTATGCTGAGATTGGCTACGTATCCTCTCATCTTGCATCAGGGTACTGCATGTGACTGGATTCTTACTGGCCAAAGAAAATGAATTCACTGCCTTGCCTGTCATATAATCATTTGGTCAGTTAGCTGGATAAGAAGTTGTTTCTGCATGTGGGTGAAACGGGAGAAGATACATAACTGTGAATGAATATTCCTTCCTCCATCCCATCCCTAATTATCCTGCTTCGTTACCAGGTTTCAAAATGTGGCAGACAAAGATAGTATGCTAAACGGTTGGGAGTGTTCTGCAATTTATCTTTCTCAGTCTCTTCAGCCAAACTCTTTAGATTTGTGATTTGATCAACCGTAGAGCTATTTGAAATTGGCAACTTCAAGTAACATTGGTTTAAGAGCATCCCCTTCACTTTTTGTCTTTGTAGAGCTGCACTTTTTGACTATTGGGTTCAAGTGATGGGTTTAAGTGATATTACATCTCTGTTCAAACAGCAGCTTTCCCCCATTGCACAATGAGACTGAAAGATGACTCTTGTTTTTGCATGAAGTCATACAGTAGGGATACTTGCTCAAAATCAGGCCTAGATATACTCGGGTTTGTGAGCACACATGTGACCAAACATTGTCTATGTTTTAAGCATCCCAAAATCAGTTTTGGATGACTTCAGGCTCTAGAGCAAGTATTTTATGCCCTTCAACTCAATGTCCCTAAGCAAAAATGCAATGTGATAATACTGAGTTGAACCCATATTGTTTCATTCTCTTCAGCACAGCTGTGACCATTAATGCAAGCTCAAGATCTCCCCCAGGAGAAATTTTTTGACCAGTGCACTCCCTGAAGCTCTCCAATAGCCATCTCTAACAACCTGCTTGTTAAGGTCAGTCTGATTTGCAAGTATGCTAATAAAACTAACACCTTGGACTCCTCTGAGTGGCATACTTCTGTGCTGCTTGTCAAGCTGTCCATTGTGGCTCACGTTGCATTCCTAGCTTCAGTAACCTATTTTCCCAGGATATTTGCATGGGAAATGCAGTTCTCCTTTCACTCTTCTAGTTTATAGAAAGCATACAAAATCTCAGTGCTTTACTGAGTCTAAAACAGTATGTCTCATAGCATAGCTTTCCTACTGCCTCTTGTAAACTACCAAGGATAATTCTTTTTATCACAGACAACCTAAAGCTGCCTTAATCCTGTAATGTGTATTTGGTCAATTTACCCACTGTGACAAAATCTTGAATCTCTAAAGCCTGTTATTAAAGTCCTCTTGATTGAAAAGCTATTCCATTTTACAGAGCTGAAACCTAAAGATTTGGTTCCAGTACACACAAGGCAGTCAAAGAGCATTACAAGATCTACATCTTGTGCGAGTATGCATTTCCAAAATAATGCAGGGATTGACGTGTGAGGGGTTAGTGTGCCAAAGAGGGTGAATTTCTGTTTAAATGTCTGTATGATATTTAGCATCAAGTCTGGCCCCAAATAACATTCTGCTATTCCAGATGATTGTATAACATTACGTAGTGTTACATTTCACATGACTTTTATTACTCAGCCAGACTTAAGGATTACATTTTGCCTACCAATTTCCTTTGTATGCTCTAGATCAAACATCTTCTTAAAACAAAGAAGATGTGGTAGATACATATCTCTTTGACCTTCTGCCTCCTTCTGCCTCAGTTATTCAAACAACTCCTGTGTTTGTAAATCAGGGAAAAATACTTGCCCAAGAAGGCTGATGTAAGAGGTGCTTCATAATGGAGATATCAACAATATCTCACCCACACACACAGAGTAGGAAGGTAATGGAAACTGGAATGATTGCATTCATATATTGGGTACAGTAGGTAAAAAAATATTAGGCTGTTAGGGTTGAGATGACCCACTAGAGGTCCCTTCCATCCTTCTATAAAATGCACCTCTCATTCAAGGAAAAAGAGTCTGACCCCAAACCAAGTGCCGTAAATGCTAAGCTTACATGTGGTGGGCACTTTTGAGAGAAGGATATTGATGGTTTGTATTTGACCAGTGTGTCCAAACAAATTACTGTATCCAACTACACTATGCACATATGAGACTTAATGTCTCATTATGGGGAAAAGAGTAGAAATCCATGACTTGTGACTATTCTGACTTCATGTACTTCTAGATAAGCTGTTCTTTTCAGGCACATTCTTTCTTTGTTTTTTTCACTGGCTATCTAGCCTCACTGAGAGGCAACATTCTTCAAGTGACAACTTTCTGCCTCAGAGTTGCTCTTATTTAACCATTATTATCCTTGACCACTCATGTTGGATTACTGGATAGTAATAATAATAACTGGAAAGGAGTCAGTCAGCTCTCTGCCTGGATTTTGCAAGACTGAGTGCCCTTGCCCCTGGCTCCCAAAGGAGTGAAAGCTGCTCAACCTATCTCAGGGTTAGGAAAAATATTTTGAACAGATCTGGGGACATGGTGCTGCAGTGTCTGGGCATGCTGATAAAAATATCTAATTTCACTTTGAGGCATTACTGGGTTTCTCAGAAGTTCTTTAGCAGCTAAAGCATTTCTATAACAAAAAATATGTCTGGCAATCTTTTCTTGGGACAATTTGCTATTGCTTTCCATGGGAGATTTGCCTCAGTAAAGTCTGTAGAACCAGGCCTATGTCATTTTGATTATTTTTGCATGGCTATAATAATGTGCTTCAGTATTTTCATCCATTATTGGTTTAAGCCTTTGACTGAAAAAAAATATCTCTAGGCTTAAGTGAGTTATTAACCATTAACTCTAGGAATGGTTTGTGGTGATATTAAAACAGGACACATGTTTGAGTGTGGTGTCTGTGTTTGTGCTGTACCCACAAACAAAACTACGTGAATGCCACTAACTGACAGCTAACTGGTTTCTTGTGTGTGTTTTACATGCCATAGCAAAGAGGGAGCTGAGAAATGCATTTTGACTGTTTAGCTTCCACTTTTTTTCCCCCTGTCAGGACGGAACAGGGATGTTGGGAAGACCTCTCATCCTGACCTTTAAAAACAAGTGTTGGAGCAATACTAGCTTCAAAAAGAGAAATAGTATTTCTTAGCAAATCTAACTTTTTAAAAAATAAATTTGGCTTAGATCCAGGCCAGAATTTCTTAGCCAAGGAAATGCAGCATTTGACTGTACTTCAATTATTGTCATTTTTTTATTTCTGAAACTGAAGTTTGGTTCCTCTATATCCCAAGAGAAGAAAATGGTCTCAAATGAAAGAAATAGCTCAACAACAGTTTGCAGGAGTACAAAACAACTAAGCATTAATGGACTGGGAAGAACACACTGTAGCATTATCAGCAATAAAATGTGCTACACAATTTGCTGTAGGAGATTTGTAATAGCTGTCTGCCTGGTGCCAAAATTTAGGTGTGTCTGAAGTCACTTCAGCTGGGGGATTTTTTTTGTTGCATAAATGGCAGAGGAAGTGCTATTTGGAGATCTTGTCCTTATGTATGTAATAAAACAGTTACAAGGAAACCCATCTGAAATTGTTTGCTGTGTCATGTTTCTCTATAAGTTGTGACTGGATTTTCCAACCCTCTTTCTCCAACCTGACTTCCTTTTGATCTTAGTAACAATACAGCCCTCCACAGTATCACTGAAGTGTTTCTTCCTTAGAAAATCTGATGCAAGTCCAGTGAAAGCCAGTGAGTTAGATGTGTGAGGCAGCTGCTCCTACATCAGCCCAATGGCTTCTCTTCTGCACTTTGCGTAGGGGATATTAGTATAAACCACGCTGATTATTTTGGAAGAAGCAAAAAGGTCATTTCCTGAACAGACTCTCTTAAGTTACATTATCATTTATCAAAAAATATCCATCTGCCTCCAAGTCAGATACTGGACTGACTCCCTTTGGAAATTTTTTTTTTTTTTTGCTGAAGTGGCAGAAAGCCAAAGAAATTGTTCAGTACTTGAGTTTCGTGAGCCCTCGCTACTGCGTGTTTCCCTTACCCTTATCAATATTGGCTCCATGCCAGTGCCGGAGAAGTATATGGTACTTAGTGTAACATACAGCAGTTTGATAAAACGGGGTGCTGCCTACGAGGACCCTCCCAGGGCGCCGAAAGGTGCACGGGCAGTAGCGCAAGCTGGACGAGCACACAGCTGTGTTTCTGCTCCCCTCGGAAGAAGGGACCCTCAGCTTTAACATCTCCTTCCCAAAAACTTTGTAAGTTCAGACAGCTGAAAAGCGCCCTTTCCCTGCCCCAGACGCCCTCTTGCCTGCTGCTTAGACACCACCGGTGGGCACCTGGGGCAGGTAACCCCAAGCCGCTCCGCCGCAGAGCCGCGCCGGGCGCGCCGCCGGAGGCCGGCAGCCCCC